TGATTTCAGAGCCCAAACTTGCCCGTTACTGAAGGTTTCTGCTGAGCACAGGATTTCTGCTTTATGTCACGGGTTTGTTTTCCCAGGGAGTGACCTCCCCATCCCTGAAGGGGAGCAAGTGAAGCCTGGAATATTGTAGTAGAGTTCACGCCTACGTGATGTGGGAGAATGTACGGAAGGAGCTTTTCTACTCAATCCCCTGCTTTAAGATGCTGGAGCGGGGCTGATTTATTCCTGAAGGGAGGCTGCGAGAATACGTAAAGCATCCCTTTCCTATGACAACTAAAAGTTCAGAGCCCAGCAGCCTGGTCCTGAGTCTCCAAGAAGCACCAGTTGGCTGTTGAAAATCCTCCTGACTCCCAAAGGTCCCCACATCTAACTTGCACATAAAGTCATCATGCAATATGTGGCTTTTGGTGTCCGGCTTCTCTCACAGAGCATCGCATTTCTATTAAGTTGTGACAGGTATTAGAACATTACGGTTTTATGGAAATGATCGTACTTCATTTTAGGATTGCCCATTTGCTTATCCATTCACCAGCTGATGGACATTTGGGTCATTTCTACCAGCGAGGTGCTTGTGAGTGGTGCTGCTATAAACATCTGTGTGGAAGTTCTTGTCCAAAAAACTGTCTTCAATTTTTTTTGGGTCTATACTGAGGAGTGGCGATACTGGGTCCTATAATAACCCTTAGGTTTAATTCTGAAGAACAAGCTATCTTTAAAAAAAAAAAAAAATTTTTAGGGCTGGGGATGTGGCTCAAGCGGTAGCGCACTCGCCTGGCATGCCTGTGGCCCGGGTTTGATCCTCAGCACCACATACAGACAAAGATGTGGTGTCTGCCGAAAACTTAAAAAAATAAATAAATATTAAAAATTCTCTCTCAATAAATAAATAAATAAATAAAGGCATTCTGCCCATCTACAACTCCAAAAAAATTTAGTTGTAGATGAACACAATATCTTCATTTTATTTATTTATTTTTATGTGATGCTGAAAATCAAACCCAGTGCCTCACACATGCTAGGCAACCGCTCTACCACTGAGCTACAACCACAACCCCAGAACAAACTATCTTGCTTCAACTTGCATTTCTTTGATTATCACAAAACTAAAATATCTTTCCTCCAAATGGTATGGAACGTTTGCATTTTCCACTTGCCTACTGTTAGCCTTGGGCAACAGGGGCCTCTGCCCTGCTAGTGATGCTTCTAGGCACTCAACTCTGACTCTCTTCTGTCCTATCCCACCCCAAGGTACACAGTTTCCACAAAGCCAAGAGTATGTGTTGACCTTGAGTTTGCATGCCTGTGTAGTCAATGCTGCATAGAACCCCACAATTCCATGCTTAGATGGCTGCCCCCACCATCAGGTCTGAGGTGCACCCCTTGCTTGGGTCCATCCCTCTGCCGTGGCCCACACTGCTGGTGTGTGTGCCCTGGATGTGCCCAGGCAGTGGCTGCTGGTGGAGGCTGCATCCTGTAGTTGCCTGTACGGTACATGTGAGGCCCCTGGAGTGCTGGCTGGAGTCTGGGGTGGAAAGAGAAGGGGAGAGGCCATGGGTCAGAAACAGGCTCAGGGTGCTTCCCATACCACCACCGTCTTCTGCTGTGGATCTCTGAAGAGACCAGGAACTCCATATTTGAATCTGGCATTTGGCTATTATAAAAATGTTTTTCAATGTAGGGAGTTCAAACATGTTTCATATGAGATTGTTTGATTGATTGATTGATTGATCAATTTTGAGACCAGGTCTCACTTATGTTGCCAGGCTAACCTCAAACTCCTGGGATCAATCAATCTTCCTGTCATAGCCTCCCAAGTAGCTGGACTACAAGTGCACTGGACTAGCTTTATTTTTAGCTTTAAATATTCAGTCCCATGGCATATGGGCCTTCATTTGAACTCTGCAAATGTAGAGAATGACCCTGGGCGTTTTTGTTTGTTTGTTTATGTGTTCTGTTTATTCAGTTTTGTGTGTTTGTTTTGGTTTTAGTATCACTGCCTTTATTATCTGAAGATTTATGCCAGTTGTGGTGGTGTACACACCTGTAATCCCAGCTACTTGGGAGGCTGAGACAGGAGGATCACAAGTTTGAGGCCAGCCTGGGCAAGTGAGGAAATACAAAACTAAAAATGTTGAGGACAGCTGGGCCTATAATCTCAGCGGCTCAGGAGGCAGGAGGATCGTGAGTTCAAAGCCAGCCTCAGCAAAAGCGAGGCGCTAAGCAACTCAGTGAGACCCCGTCTCTAAATAAAATACAAAATAGGACTGGGGATGTGGCTCAGTGGTTGAGTGCACCTTAGTTCAATCCCTGGTACCTAAAAAAAAAAAAAAAAAAAAATGTTGAGGATATGGCTCATTGGTAGGCAACTGGCCCAGCATGCACGAGGCCCTGGATTTGATCCCCAGTATTGGAAAATAGAGTTTAAAACCTTTAAAATCAGTCTTTGAGCCAGGCATGGACCCATGGTACAAGCTATTCAAGAGGCTCAGGCAAAGTGGATCACTGGAGCACAGGAGTTGGAGGTCAGCCTGGGCAACATAATGAGACCCTCATCTCAAAATTTTTTTAAAAAGTCAGGCTTTCATTACATGAATTCCTCAGAGAATCTGACTGAAGTTCCTCCCTAAGTTTAATGTCCCTGTTTACTTGTGCTAGATTGGGGCTTAGCAAACTACAGTATGACTGCCAAATTCAGCTCCCTGACTTTTCATAAAAATAAAGCTTGATTGAAATTCATTTCCATAACATAGTACAGCTGCCTGTACACTTAGGGACAGAGCTGAAACAAAGATTGGGCAGCCCACAAAGCCAGAATAGTCATTCTCCAGCCCTGGCTGAAAATAATTACCCACCAGTGCTAGATCCACCTGGCTGCCTGCTTCCTGCTTCCTGGTTTTGCTCTCTTCAGGAAAAAATGGGCATCCCTCATTAACTGCCTTTTCTCCTGTGAAGTTCTTCCACAATCCTCATTTGCCTTTTCTTCATAACCAGAATATCTAGAGGCTCCTTAACATTTTTAGTTGTGTTACTCACTTTAGTTCTTCAGAACTAAAATTTAAAACTTATGTTTCCAAAGTGAAAATGACAACTAATTTTTCAAAAAGTTAAGTCATAATTTAAAATCCAGCATCCGACTGCTGTGATGAATATTTTAAGGTGCATAGTCATTTAATTTTTTTCTCCCTGTAAGGGTCACTGGGTTTGCAGATTACTCCCAAGACCACTAGATGGCACAAATATCCAATCCCTTCCCTGTCTCAAAGGAGGTAGATATAGAACTGAGCTCCGAAAGCCAGTTTACTCTTAAAAAATAAATAAATAAATAAATAAAAATTTTAAATATATATATATATATTTTTTAATTGATAAGTAAAAATGCATATATTTATTGTGTACATCATGATGTTTTGAAGTAGATATACAATGTGGAATGGCCAAATTCAGCCGATTAACAAATGCACTACCTTACGTGGCTATCATGTTTGTGGTGAGAACACACAATTCAGTCTCAAGGGTTTGTAAGACTACTGTGGCCACCTTGTACAGTAGATCTCCTCAAACTGTTCCTCCTAATGAAATTTGCACTCATTGAACAACATCTCCCCAAAACTCTCCCCATCTCTGGCAACCACCATTCTAGCCTCTGTGCCGCCTCAACCTCTCATCCTCCACCCCCGGTACTGGGGATTGATCCCAGGGGTGCTCTGCCTCTGAACTTCATGCCCAGCCCTTTTTTGTTGTTGTTGTTGTTGTTTTGTTTTGTAACATGGTTTTGGTAAATTGCTGAGCTGGCCTTGAACTGGCAATTCCCTTGCCCTGGCTTCTCAAGTCCCTGGGATTATAGCTGTGCATTAACGCACCCAGCTTTGGTCTCAGCTTGTATGAATTCAATTGTTTTAGGTCCACATATGAGAGAAATCAGGTAGCATTTCCCCTTCTGTGCCTGGCTTATTTCATTTAACACAATGACCTCCTTGGAAATGAACATCAACTGGGAGAAACATTCAACCAATGACTAAGGGGAGGTGGGGTTCATGCATGAACCCCCTTGCCCCTCACCCCTCTGGTGGGCTAACAGTGAGCTGTGTGTTCCTCAACCTTCTCAGGAGCCACAGGTCACATTAGATTCCACTTGCCCCAAGAGGTCATTTCCTTGTTACCACTGCTTGTCTCCCTTCCACTTCTCTTTTCTGGTTTGTTGGATGACTCCCACATGAACTATTTACCTTTTTTCCCCCTAGAGGCACTTGCTAAGCTGTGAGGCTGGCCTGGAACTTGAGAGTCTCCTGTCTCAGCCTCCCAAGTC